CCTCAGAGGGAGACCCCGCCGCGCCGGGCCGCAGCCGCGGAGCTCCGGCCGGGCCCCCGGGCCCCGGCCCGCCAGGTTTGTGGAAGGAGCAAGCAGCGCTCGGCCGGGAGGTGCGGGCAGGCCGGGGTGCGGGGTGTCGGGGCGGCGGGACGCGGGGATCCTCCTTGGCTGCCGCCGCCAAGGGCTCGCGAGAGCCCTCGGGGCAGCTCCGTGGGCACCGGGGCTCGGTTCCCGCCGGGCTCCCTCCTCTCTTCCTCGGGGGGCAGCCTGGACGTACTTAGACCATTGGACGTTACCGCAGCTTGCTTTTCATAAATGCTACGCGGATGCTTTTATGGGAGTTTAAGAGCAGCCCCGAGGCGGGAGTGTTCCCCCGGCTGACTCCGGTGCTCCCGGTACTGACAGCCCTCTGACATCCGAACTGCCCCACCGTGCCCACGGTCCATTGATGCTCCCTCCATCAGGGGCAAGGTTCCCATTCTAATCTGCTTTTTTGGGGTGGTTGTTTGGTGTCCGTGTGTCCCATGTCGTCGTCGTCCGTCCCCGTCCCCCCCCCTCCCCGTAAAACCTTTTACTCCATTGCCTGGCCCAAATAAAACCAGTGCACCCGGAGGTAAAGGTAATATAAGTTGGGCTTTACTTTCCTGTAGTCCTGGGTTTCGGCTGGGGTTTTGTTGTCTTCTGCCCGCTGCTGAAGTGCTGGATAGCTACTGCTGCCTGAACGGCTTCTTTCTGTTTTCTTGTCTTTTGCCAAGGAGATGATAGAAAGTGATATCCCGTCCATAATGTCAGGAATCATTAGGAATTCAGGGCAAAATCACCACCCTTCACAGGAGTACAGGTGAGGCGTTTATTGATTTCAAAAATACGCACTGCACTGTCACAGCCTGCTAACGGATGTTGTTTTCCCATTATTTCCTAAAAAAAAAAGCCTTCGCATATAGAAATCAACTTTTTTTTTTTAAAAAAAGAGTTAACTGCATTTTTTTTCTCCACTGTAAAGTAGATTTCTAAGGTGGTGAGGGGTTACAATGCATTACATTTAGAAGCGTTCCTGTTTAAAGTATTTTGATACTAAACTATGTTTGATAAATACACCTTCAAAGCCTTGGGTTGATCTTCCACTATACTTTCCCTACTGTATGAGTGTTGCCAGAGAAGGATATTCTTGTTAAATAATAATTACTTAAAAGTTCCCTTTCAGATCCCATTTTGCATTGTTATGAAGCAGTCATGGAGAGACTAAATCAAGTGCAATAGACACTAGAAGAGCTTTTCATTAAAACAAGTACTTATGTAGTACTCCAAAGCACTGACATGTCAAAGGTCTTCTAATATCGGTGGGAACAAACCTGGATTTGTCAACAGCCTTTGATAATTTATCTATATCTCTACGCACCCATTTATTGTTCAAAAGTATTGTTAGAAGTCATGGGATAGTTCTGCATGAATTACAGTGCACTGGGTTAAGTTAGGTTACATCTTGTCACATGATGCAAAGTTCCAAGAAATACAGAATAGCAGAACACGATCCAGTTCTCACAGTAAAAAAAAAAAAAAAATTCTTTTTTTAAAATGAGGAGTGAGAGACTATCTCCTTCCTCCTAGCCTGAGGGTGTTTTCACCCATTTCTATGGGTAAAAGTGGTCTGCCGCAGGTATTCTTCTATCAGCCTCTCTCTATTCAAAATGCAAACACTGCACTGCAGCCTCTTGCAGCTCAACAAGTGATTTGTTATACTCTCTGAAGCCACTGTGGAAAAAGGTTTGTGGAACTCTGTTTTGCTGTTTATTAAAGCACTATTTGCTCTAGGCATTTTTGTTGGCTATGTAAATATTTGTGAAGAAATTATTCAGTATTTAATGAAGGGTATGTATGAGAGAGACTTCTGGGTACTTATATTTAAGTCTGTATCTTCACTGCCCTGAAGAACGTACCACCTTAACAAAGACCGTCTTTATGGAGAGAACTATTCTTTAACTCATAGCTGCAGAAGAAACACTCTTTTGGGGGGAGAAAGATAGGGTTTATCTTACTGCCAGTAAAGGAATTGTAAGAGTTTCTTCTTTTATTCAGAAGTCATCTGTTTTTAAAAACTACTTTAGATTGTCTGTTAAACATTTTGAACTCAAAGATCCCAGTTGTCTAAAGTTTTTAACCCACTTGTGATTTCTTTAATGCAGCTTTAAAATGAATTATTTGACCTCATTTAATAGTGGCAAATTCTGATAAAAATGCATAAAATCTGAACTGCACCATAAATGCAGAGCAGTATTTGTCCTACTTCATGAGAAAACACTTTGGATTATGTAAAAGAAAATCTTTTAGACTGAATGATTTTAAGAAAAGAATAGACCTGTCAAATTCTATCAGCTCTGTTTACTCTCCTGCTGTCACCACAGTCCAAGACTGGAACCCACAGTCCTGAGTTCTCCATGGGGGAGCATCAAGGCTCCACAAAATGGGGAATGGCCTCCAATTAGTGAGTGGGAGGCTGGGGCTGTGCTCAGAATACTCTTCTGTCTTACTTGGAATCTTTCAATGGGACAGTTGGACTTGGAGGAGACCAGCCTTTCCTGCGAGTGTGCAGGAGGAAACACTGAAAAGGGAGGGGAGCGTGTGGGCATGTAAGCAGGGGATCAAATCAGCAAATATTGATAAGTTTTCATGCAGCTTATGCTTGCAGTTTGAAACAATGGGAATTTTTTTCTTTTTTTTTTTTTTAAATGGATGAAAAAAAAAAAATCCCTGATTTTAGCAGGTCTTTGAATTCTGTGGATCCAAAGCACCTATAGTAAATTTGTTGTAGCACATAGAGTAGTGATGAGGATTAGACTGCTGTGCAAAGTCCAGGGACTATTTGCACCACAGTAAAATGATTTTAGCAAGTATCTTTTCCAGTGACACAGCAGTGGGATATAAAATATCCTACTGTCCAGGAATGATTAAGGGCCATCTTATCTTCTCTGATGCCTATGTTTTTATGGCACTGTCACTGCCTGGCTACCAATGCAAAGTAATACTTCATATTAGCAGATGCCTCTCACTCTCCCGGAGAAAATACCGCTAAATTAAATATTTTCATAATTGTAGTAGTGACATATATTTCTAATGATTTTATTTTACATTTTAGGGACTAAAACTAGAGACTTGTAACACACTGGGATTTTTTAACCCTTAACACTTTATTCTTGTTAATTATAATTAATATTTAACATTATGTTTCAGTGTAAATATCTTTATATTTAAATCAAAGCAATAGGCAGACTACAAGTTTACTATGCAGCGGTGTGCTTGTGGTCATTTCAGCACAAAGCTATGTAAACTATAGGAGGCAACTCAAAGACTACTAATTTAGTGGAGAGCTCCCATGGTCTTCAGTGGGCTTGGAGCTGGTCTCTGAGAAACAAGGTTCTTCAGTTCCTGAGTACTGTGATCTTAAGCAATATTTTTAATTGAAATCTGCAGTCTATCTTTTTGCAGTCTAATTTGATTTAACATGCATAACCAGTGCAAGAGAAGTAAAGGCCTACTGTGACGTACACAAGTGCAGAATGAGATTTAATAGGCAGAGCTTGAGCAACAGAAGCCCCAGGGAGGCAGATGAGAAGCCAAGGTGGGCCTGGACTAAGACTGCAAAAACACTTGCAGACCTGTAAGTTCTCTCCCAGATAAGACTTGGTATTATCCTAATTCAACATTCTTGGTTTTCAAATGCAGCAGCATGCTTATTTTTCTCAGGGACTATCCCATTCCCAAACTAGGTACAGTTATGTGTGGTTTATTACATATCATATAATAAATCATGATATGAAAACCAGGCCATTAGAAGGGAGACAAAGAGTAACTTGCTATGGATTACTTGGCATATGTGAAAATCCAATTTAAGGAATCAAATCATCACTCTAGGTAACAATGTGGCATTTATATTTTGAAAGAAATAACTAAAATCTGCAATTCTATTTAAAGAAATAACATTACTTAAGATGTAAAGCTAACCCAAGATCAACGAGATAAATTAACTTGCAGCTCAATATTTTGTGTAGGGACCATGTTTCTATTTTTTTATATTACTATGTGTTTCCAGTTGATAGAAGCCTTATATAGCATTTTGAAGGCCTTGCAATGCATTTTCTACACATGTTAAGCAGAAATTCAGTTTTAAATGGATATCTTTTTGATAAAAAGTCATTACTCAGTAACTAATCATTCAACATATTAATAGACTATATCCTCCTTCACCCCATTTTAATTCTCCTCTTGGTTCTTAAAAAAAGGGTCTATATTCATTGGCTCATTAGATAGTCTGATTAAATTTTTGTTTTAATAATTACTTTATGCTAGCATAGTTTAGCATAAAATCAATTAAGAAGCATAGACACATAAACATGCAACTGCTGTATTCCATACATTTGGGATGTGACTGCCTTACAGTGGTGAAAAAGGTGGAAAGTCTTTATCTTTATGACACGCAGAACATTTGAGGTCTCCTAAGTGGTAGTCTCATATCTGGTTTTGCACTTTGGTTTCTGGAGAGCAAGCTACAGCTCAGGCCTCCTGACAGTCACCACTGGGGATGGATGGAGTCTGGGAGTTTGCATGAAGGAAATTTCTGCAGACAAAAGGTTACAAATGCATAACTAACAAAACCGTAATTGTTCCTGAAGAAAATGTCAGTGTCCATTCCCTTGACACCATGTGTGTCTGACAGGGAGTGAGATAATGACTCGATGTGTCGGAGGAATTTCATCACAGTAGTTGCTTCATTCTTTCAAAAAAATGTGAGAAACCTCCTAGGAATCAGTTAAACTCAGGCCAGTGTGGATTGATTTAAGTGGATTAGCTCAACTGTTTCCTATGCAGTTCCTGAAATGTGCTAATCTGGATTAATAAAAAATTTGTGGCCCTTGCTCCTCAAATTGTCTTGCACTTGCAGGCAGAGATGGGAAGGACTGGTTTGTACCCAGGTGATGTCTTGCAGGCTTCTCAAGCTCATCTGCCTCCAGTGAAACCAGAATGGAGTTCATACCTCACCTCAAAAAAGGCGCTTGACCCCTTGTTCAAAACAAGGAAGCAGAAAATGAATTTGGACTTTTTCAGCATTCCTGTGAGATCTCAGATGCTCATGGCACACCGCTCTTATTTTACCCATTTAAAAAACTCTTGTACATGCGGAAAGCAGAATTGCTGCATGACCGCAGCAGCAATTAATGCACTTGAGACAAGTTCTTACAACAGTGCAAAACAAAAGGTAGTGTATTTTATATTCCCTTTACACTGAAGTAAATAACTACACAAGATCCCAGGCAGATAGATCAGTTCAGTGCTAATAAACAGCAGCTGAAGCAATGTCAAAGGGAAAAATAGCTTCCCAAATGGACAATGTTCCTGGTTTTAACAGAAAACATTCCTGTAGTGTGTGGTACTTCAACACATTTTTGCATCAAGGAGAAGCTTATTTTGACACTAGTCACAGGTTTGGGTTTTGTTTGTTTGTTCTTTTTTTAGCAAAACAAGTTGCAGAGTCAGATACTGGCTGCATTTAGCAAATCTGAACCTTGGGATGGTTATGCGGGTAAAGCACAGTAGGGAGCAAGTGGCTGGGAGTTCAGTGCTGACATTGCTGCTAACTTCCTCTTAGGCTTAAGCAAATCATGTAGGTCACTTGTAATTCAGTTTCCCTTCATGTCATACCAAAATGATGTAATGAGGCATTATGAAACTCAGAGCTGAAATGTATAAAAGTCTCCAGGAGCACATCTATAGCCTGTTTTGTTAGCCCTAAGCGCCTTTGCAGAAGGTTTTTGGAGAATCATCTTCTAGTCTGAACCATGGTGTAAG